CCCCCCTCCCCATTAGATGGAATAGAAAATCAGAGAAATATACACGATCGTCGGAAAACAGCGGAACACCCAAAACGGCAAAATCAACGACGTCAAACACGGATCCGCGCTACGATTCACGAAGGAGGAATGCGCGACCACCGTTCCTCGAATATGAAAATCGTCTTCTCTCTCTCTCTCTCTCTCTCTTTATCTCGTTTCCTCCTCGATCCTCACGCGAAGGATCGCCAGGCACACGCGTCCCCTCGCGACGATCGTTGCGTAACGATCGGCGTCACGAGGCAGCTGCATCACCGAGCCGTTTTCGCATCGAGAAACCGCGAATAAATAACTCTCCCGCGGCGGGATCGTAAAACCCGAGGCTCGGGTCGATCCACGGCATTGAACCGTGAAGCGGTTGTTCGATCGACGGCCGATCGCGACCACCGGCGACGACGACGAGAGAAATTCTGCTTGGCCGTCGCGCGACGACCGCCGCGTCGCAGCCGCCACGCCGTCGGAGTTTATTCCACGCGATCGCGCTGAGAGAGACAGAGAGAGGAAAGGTTCGGTCGGACAGACGGACGGATGAATCTCTCTCGTCGCGACCGTAATACTTGATTTCCCACGTGGCATGGTGCGGGCGCACTCTATCTCTTACCGCCGGCGCGCCAGCTGTAGGGTCGATTAATCGCTCGTTTCTCACCACTGACGGCCCTCCTCGGTGAGAAAGAATCGTCGTCACGCGAAAGACGCTTAATTGTCGGCATTACGCTCGTCGGGACGTGTCAATTCGCCGCCGCCGGGATTCCAGCAGCCGGTCGGATGGCGAGATTCGCCGTATCGCGCGTTTCCTCTCTCTCTCTCTCTCTCTCTCCTCATCCGCTTTTGAGGACATAGCGTCGTAAACGCGTTGTCTCTCGCATCCAGCGAGCGGATCTAATCGTGAAAAAAGAGCGAAGCTTTTGAGCGAGCGAGAGAGTGCACACGCGTCTCGAGAGAGGGGGAGAGCTTGCGGTATTTGAAACTGGATCGCGAAACGCACGCGGCGAAATTCCGAGGGGGAAAAAAATTCTCATTCGCTCTTCTCCAAGGGCTCATGGGTGCAACAAATGTCGGAGGAACCCTTTTTCTCTTGCAATCTCCCTGTCTCTCTCGCTCGTGTAGCTTGCCCTTCCCCCGGTTGCTGTTATCTCGAAATTGAAAACAATGCCGCGAGACTAAACATTCCGCCCGGCGTTGCTCTCTCTCTCTCTCTCTCTCTCCCCCTCTCTCTCCGACGTTGCATACATAACGTTGCTTGAGTTACGGGGCGCAGGGCCGCACGTGCGGCGTAAGTTATGCGCTGCACCTGGATTAAACCGAGAACGTCGAAAGATATTGCGCGCCTCCCGACGGAAAAGCTCGATCGCGGATAAGGCGAAAAAGCGGCTCGCTCCAGATCGGCCGACTAACCGGGGCATCGCGCTGACGTCACCGACGCGCCCGTTTCCCACCGGTGGACGTTGGATCGCCCGATTTTTGTCGACCCGCTCGCCTTAAGACACGATGTCCCTTTGATTCGAAAACACTGCGATATTTCCCGATTGTTATTCTCTCGGAGCGTGCGGTGCGAAGTACAGCTGGATGGAGAGAATCGAATTTGGAGCTTTCCCTGCGATAACGTATCCACGTGAAATCACCGGTCGTTCGTCGAACAGGAAGAATTCGTCTCGCGGGTCTCGCGGGTCGCGCGCGACGAATTGTTTGGAGAAGGCGAGGGAAAAATGTGTCGTTCGGGAAAGGCGGTCGAGCGTGTTCTCTGTAATGTAGGTTATCGGCGACGCCTTGCGATACCAGTCGTGCCGCGCGTTAAAACCGTGGTATCGATAACAAGCGGAACCAATATTTCGCGCGCGCAGCACTGGCATTCGTTATCGTAACAAACGTGGAAATGAGCAAGCACGGCGCAACATTTTCGCGCCGATGTCCTATTCAAACAAAGTCATCGGACCGTCGCATTGACGCCGTATCTCTTGACACGCGCGCGATTGTGTTTTTCGCGGGACGAACGATTCAGCGGCCGACGCGAGCGAGCGAGAGACGTTGCAGCTTCGCTCGAAAACAGCGAAAACAGAGGTCGAGTGACTGATCGAAGATCGACGGTTCATCGTGAAAAATCTCAGGCATTCGAGGTCGATGAATACGAATGCGGAAGGCAAGCGCACCGACGAGACGATCGGCCGCGGGAATCGTTCGACTTCGATCGTTGAAATCAGCCGCTGCCGTTCGCGTTTTCAGAGATATCATTTTATCCGGCCGGGACGCGGGATCAATCGGTGATTCGCGCAGATGCGCCTATTCTATTTCTGATTATCGGCGGAAATCGCGGAAAAACCGCAGCGTCGGAACGAACGGGAGTTTTGACGATAAAACTTGGAAATGTGGCCGCGCGCGGCCCTCGAAATTGCGCGACCCGAATACACTCGAACGCTCCGCCGGTTGAATTAACCGAATGTGACAATGGCGGAAAGCTTATTAATAATCGACGCGGTTCGGAACGCGTGTATTCTCCCCCCTACAATACCGCATTAATTCGTCAACCGCGCATTACGCGCGCGTGCTCGCCTCTCTAATGACAGTCGACTTTATTCGTATCGTGTTCACAAATACGCGTGCGGAGGGTCGGGGCGGGTCAGCGAAATGAAAATCGGCTGACTGCTTCCTCGTTATACGAGGTGTTACGCGAAATAATGCACACGCTGTAATCGATACGTAGCTACCGAATGTACTCGGGTATTTAGCGGAGACGCTCGTATTAAATTAATCCCCGCGCGCACACAAGAAGTCGCCGTCTCTACCGTTTTTGCAGCTCTCGCCGTATCCGCGCGGATCTTCGTGAATGGGACGCGGTAGCAGTCGCGTGATACAATAAGTCGCATTATCGTTTATTAACGTCGGACGACTTGACCTGTAAATTTCGGCCGACGACCTATTTCCCGATCTCGAGATTATCGGCCTCAACGATCGACGCGAACGACGGTTCGGTCTGCGGTCGGCGATGACGAATACGCGGGCTTCGAAGGTTGAACGTTAACGACTCTCGCAACAACGTCGCTGACAAATTGGAGACGCGAGGGATCGAGCGAAACCGCTGTCAAATCATCGCCGGAGATTAACCCTCGTCCCGAGGTCGCTCGAACGGACCCTAACATGCCCGACCTTATATATATATAATCACTGCTTACGAAAAAATTATTTCCCTCGGGAGCTCCGGGGCGGATTTGGGTGGCTCTCGATGTTCTTCCCTTCCCTCCCCTCGGGCCGGCCTCGTTTATCGTTATCGCCGTCTGAAAACTGCGAACGCTTTCCCGGGAGGGCGCAGACAATTCTTACAAGTCGCGGCGATAAAGCGGATAGGAAGATAAGACGGTTGCGCGCGGCAGGAATAAAGGCGAACGCCTCGGAAACTCGCCCAAGATCGTCATTGCTCTCCCTCTTTCTCTCCCTTCTCCCTCGCCTCTTCAAATTGCATGCAGCCGCGAGGAATCGCGTACAGTATTCCGACAGAGTCGCGTACAGCTGGAGCGCGAGAAGTCGTGCCGCGTGTACATATGTCGGCGAATCGACGAGGTGTTACGGACGGGGAGGAAGAGTCACGTAATCGGAAACGATTTACTACTGCATACCCCATCGCGTCTCTAACCAATCGTCTTGTCGCGTGTCAAAGAGAACAGAGAGAGAGAGACATCGGGGATGTTTCTGGAACGGCAAATACACGAGTTCAACGGAGTTTCGGCCTCGAATATCTACGAGTATCCATTAACGAGGTGTAAATCAGACTGGCCGTTTAATCGTCCGACAGCGCGAATTCACCGACGTCCGGCCGAAGTAATTCGCGTTTTTGCGCGCCCTTCGTCCTATCCGCCGTGTCAATTCCGTTATCGAACTGCGGCGCTTCCTCTTTCCGCGCTTCTTTTTTCTTTCATTCTATTCCGTCTCTCTCTTTCTCCCTTTTTTTTTTTTTATTTCGACGCGTACACTCCGCAACTGCATTACTTCCTTCTGCCCGCTGCTGCGGCCATTCGTTAGTTATGCCGCGAGAACCGACGTCAATGTGACCCGCCGGTCAATTAATCGCGCGCACCTGCTTGCGCCATCGATCGTAGCAACGAGCAGCAATGAATAGTCGTTAATTGAAAATGATCAATGCAGCAGTGTGTGTGTGTGTATGTGTGTATGCGGGATTCTCACGAGTTGACGTTATCCCCGTTTCAGTGAAAATGTACGGTAATAATGGGAGGGAAGTGAGCTAAGAGACGAGAACGAACTTGAAACGTGACAAATGTGGAGAATCACGCAGGGAAACGTCGCGAAACGTTCGTGTGGAACAGACGAAATATATGAAGAATTAAGGAATACGCCGAGAAATTTTCAATCTTATTGCTTCGTATAATTTGAGCTAAGATACAGCTCACGTGAGATGAGAGCAACAAATGCAATCTACGTAACTAATACATGCAATTGGCGCGAATCTGAAAAAGTTACAAGCCATAATTTGATCAATAATCGAGAAATTACGAATTCAGACAACGATACGTAAACGCGTTGTCTCTTTTCACCGAGTTTTAACGTTAAGGTCGTTTAATTTTTTGCGATTATTCCAATTAACCCAACGAGCAATTAGCTTGGCGAAGCATCGTGTTAATAGCGAGGTATCTTTACTGAAAGTAGAGCGAGAAACTAAGAGAGAGAGAGAGAGGTAGACACAGGGAGACGAATGAAAAACGAACCGGAAGAAATTTCGAGTGACCGTTTGGAAGGACTCGCAGAGGGAAATTCTTCCCGAGTCCTTTGAGCGAGACTACCTTTCATTCACGATGCTCTTTTCACGTTTATCGATCCTGCCCGTTCCCACCGTGCCATTCCTTCTTTTTTCTTTTCTTTACTATCAAGTAGACCAAACTTTGTTTCGGCGAAAAAGGAAGATATCTAAGACACGGTTCATTGGCTATCTACGGCGATAGTTTCCCCGAGTTATAAGTACTATTTACCGTTAGTACTCGAAGGTGACTAATAACCGTGCGCAAGTTGGAAACAAAACAACACCGCTGTGCGCCTGTCACTGTCGCCGCCGGGAGTTAAGTTCGTAATCGAACAAAAGCGACCGAGAGTTGACAATTAACCATGAACTTGGTTGACAGTTTTCATTTACCGTTAAAACATATTTCCGAATTTCTCGGATCCGCGCGTACACGTGCGCACATTAATCATATTGTTCTGTTACATGTAAATAATAATTTTACCCGAGTTTATCGTCACCCGACTGTTTCTTCAGATTCCGAAAGGCCGATCGGAAGGAGACGGCACGAAACTAACATCGGTCTTCGATTTCACGTCGCTCGCGCGAATGTCGCTTTGCATCTTTGCGATGTAACTTCAGACCTACTTTCATAACTCGCCGGGAGAATTCGGCTGTTAACAAACAAGACGATTTCCACGTCGGGTCTGAGTTAAACGATCGCGAGCGAGCGGGAGAGTGGAACGCGTTCGGTGAACGCTAACGCAAAAAGTTTACGGTAACGGTTGACATATTAGCACGATAAACAGAACCACGTCATGTTGAGCGAGAGCACTTTGATAACGCAGGAATGTAGACACGATTAGTCACGCGATGGTGTACAGTGGGAGAGCAACCGAGTGGCAGATCGCGGATTATCATCATCGGATATTGCGACGCTGTCGTTGACGCAGGCCGGTATCGCCCGGCCACTTTCAACGGTTTGTCCGTTATTGCGCGCCCACGATGGGAAGCGATAACGTCTTGTAACGCTTATCACTTCGTAGAGTGCGGAAGGGAGAAGGGAAAATTCGTTATCATTCAGCATCGTCGAGCGAGACACATCGCGTGTTCCCTCGGCAGGCCGTCGAACGCGCGTGGGAACGCGATTTTCGCGGCAATGAATTCCGCTCGTTATTATTTCTTCGCGAGAATATTCAAACAATCACCGATAATTACTAATAAAATTGTTGCGTGTACAGGGAGGCTCATCGGATGAACAATAGAAGCGTTTTCCGCGCGGATACACGTCGTTAGTACAGATCGGTGCGCATCGCCGATTGATATTCGAAAGGTTGGAGGTCTCGCGGAGAGGAAAGGAGAGAGAAAGAAGGAAGAAAAAAGGGAGGAGGGGAGAGTGCAGGAGGACCGCAGGATTTTCTAATTTTTCTATCCTTGCAGACGGACAATCGCTTCTTCCAGCGGACCGAGAGGGCGAAGAGTAACAGGGACGTGCGGGCGAGACGGCGCGATGTTCGAGAACATTGCGCGTTGTCACCGACGAAATTGGATCGCGCCGTCCTCCCACCGAGAAAGCGTTGCGTCCGAACGAGCGTTGTGGTAGAACCTCTTTGGCGACGGTTCGACGACGGACCTCAAGGATACGCCGAACGATCGTCATCGTCATCATCGAGAGAGAGAGAGAGAGAGAGAGAAAAGAGGCGGGGCGTATCATGACCGAGTCAGAACCACGTAATGTTGCGTGGCGTACGTCACGTGTCCACGTGGTCGAGACAGCTCTTCGTGAGTGGTGAGAGAGCGTGATAAATCGTACGCGATTAGTCGGCGTTTAATTGCACGAGTTTAAGGGCGACCCTTGCGCAAAAATTGAAAGCGCTCCGCCGGTGGTTCAAAGCACCGGCATGTCGAGACGGCCTCGCGGTCGGCTCGACTCAGAACTCGCTGGCTCGGTATAAAACGCGGTCGGTGATCAAGAAGAGGAGGAGAAAGAAGAGGAAGAGAAAGAAGAAGGAGGAGAGGAGACTCGGAGCGCGCATGGCGGGAGGAGAGAGAGGGGGAGAGGGGCCGAGCGAGAGGCGCAAAATGGGAGCAACGAAATATGTGTTAGGCAGCGCGATCTTAGGACTCTTTTGGAGCAGCTTGCTGAAGGGCGTCCTGACCAACTCCAGCACCAGTAGGTGCGACTATCCGCCCTGCTCCTGCGACCACTACGGCAGGCTGACCTGCGACTGCAAGGAGGACGGCGAGGTAGGTTCGATATAATGCCGTACTGCCGATAGGTATAGCCGCGCCGAGTGTCGAGCATTTTCGTCGCACGTGTTTCGCAATCGCGTGCACAAGTCGATGGCGAAACACTTTCTTCGACCGACTCGCGCTGGACAGATGTGACGTGAGAGAGAGAGAGAGAGAGAGAGAGATTGCGGGAGAAAAAATATATATGCTATTTGTGTTATCAGAAGAGATGATCTGAACGCGTGCGCCTCTCGTGAGATGTCTGTTCTCTTCTCGACACGAAATGGCTGGTCGCGCTGCTTCGCTCCGTAACTGAACGCGACTGCCGGCTAGACGGGAATCGAACGCGTCGTGTGTGCGCAGAACGTAATTGTGCAACAATAATGCATCATGAGCGAATCGTTCGGGAAAGTAATAATTCTCTTTCACGTGTCTCTCTCGATTACACGGCTCGATTAGCCTGTCTTTTATTCGCCATATTTACAGTAGCGAGCAAAGTGCTTATTGATAAGCGCCTCTTCATCCGTGAATGGAATGTGGATGAAGTTTTAATATTCCTCGTTTGTTATTCGTTATTTGTTTTGTGCGCGTGGAAATTAATCTCGTATTCTCTCTTTCTCTCTCTCTCGAGATACTTTCTCGTAGCCCTTCATATGATAACGCAGTTTTACAGGCACCTATTTTCCAACGGAACCCCCGCTCGGCTGCCGGGCCCTAAGGTTAATTCGGTTCTTTTCATTCCGCCGGTTTCGCCGGCCGGGTTAAGAATCGTCCGATCTACGTCCCCGATCTCTCTCATTACCTATGACGCCTCTTCACTTCCGATCAAAACAATCCGGCGAACCAAAGAAAAGGAGAGAGAGAGAGAGAGAGAGAGAGAAGGCGCGCGTGTTTTTCTCTCTTTCTCTCTCTCTCTCTTTCTCTGCCTCTCCAGAATGAATTCATGCGGAAACCGCGGGACTATTGCTATCGCCCGAAAAATCTCAGACAATGCGACACGGGAACGTGCCGGATCTGCCCGTTCTTTGTTCACGAGGGACGTTATTCCATTTGCGAATTACCCGGTGGGGAGATAAAGGGGCGGGTACCGCGGGTAGCTTCGTGCGATGGTAAAATCGTAAAACTCGATCTCCCGCGGCCGAGAGGAAAGAAAACAAAACAGAGGGAAGGGGGGGGGAGAGAGAGAGAGAGAGAGAGATACAGGGGACAGGGAGGAGAAAATGTTTCCTCCGGATCTCAATGACGTCTTCGGCGCCGCGTATCGCCCGAGGAGACGGCAACAAAGATTGAGATAAAGTAATAATCGCGCCTCGAAACGCTCCGCCGCTCTGTCGTTATAACGGAGCGAGGACATCGGAAGATCTGAAGAAAGAGACAAGAAGAAACAGAGAGAGAAAGAGAGAGAGAGAAGGAGAAGGGAAAGATAGAAGGGCGATCAGCTAGGACGAGCCTAATCTCCCGGACTACGCGGGGAAGGGGGCCGTAAATCGCGAGGGTGCCAACCACCGATGGGGGTGGGAACCCCCATAAATTAGAGTGTGTTTACGCAAATCGTAGGGTTTGCGGGTGAAGAGGCGGACGGGTAGGCAGGTAGATAGGGATATGGGATACGCGGAGAGAGGAAGACTCCGTCGATCCTTCCACTCCACCCTCTCGTAAATGTTTCGTTTTTATCCCCCCGGCGGCCACACGCACCCTGTTGGGTCGAGACAGAGAGAAAAATAGCGGGCGTCCCTCGCCGGTTCTAGGATCACGCGAACTGTTCACGCTCGTACGTTCGTTCGTTCCTACCGCGTTTCCGACGCTTCCGGCCATCCGCGATATTAAAGGAGCACACACCGGCGATCAAGAAGGAACGTCTACCTGTCTACGTGCCGGCGGCGAATGATTCATAATCGCATCGCGATATCGCGATAAACGCGCGCCGCCGTGAGGTAACTTGAGGAATGCGCGCGCCAATGAGGACGACTTCCTTCCTCGAGCGGGTTAACCGGAAGTCTTCGGTTTTCGTTTAGTCGAATCGAATGCGCAACCGGAGCGGCGATGGTGGTAAACGTGGTAACGCGAGTACCATCGCTTTTTCCGCGGGAGGCGGGAATTTATTGAATAAATTTGAAACTCGCGATGATGAGAGTTTGAAATTCGACTTCGTCGGAAGTTCAAACCTCCGTCTTCCCATCGTTCTCTCTTTTTCTGTCTCTCTCTTTCCCTCCTCCCTCGTGTTACCCTGTGCACTCAGTTTTCGTTTTTTTTGCCGCGATGAAGAACGCGGATCGCGGTGCGAGGTCGAAAACATGATAAGAAAATAACGAATGCGCTTCGGGAGATGCAGCAAACGCGACACACACACACACACACACATATATATAGCGCTTTTAACGATTACACGACGAGATAAAACAATCACCCTGTTACAATTAAAGTTACCCGTGATTTGATTCAAAAACCCGAGATTTTATCAATTTCACGGGAGGAAATAATTCCGTACGCCACCAGTACGTAAACGAGTCTCGTATTCAGCTCGCGCGTCCACGGGGAGGTGTAGAAGAGCAGTATGGGGAGGGGGAGGGTGGTAGTAGTACGACACGCCATGGAAATTTAATCGCGAACGCTGCGAGCGAGCGAACACGGCACGGGCGAATATTTCGCGATGCAACGATGTTGTTTTAACTGCAAGCTCCGGGACGGAAGATAATGTTACCGCGTGTCCTCGCGAGCATCTCGCCCGTCATTATTGTCCGCGATAAAGCGTTCTTTGTGTAGTCCGCCGTCGACGACGGCGTTCGCGCAATAGCCGGCGATTCGTCGACGATACACCTCCTCTCTCTCTCTCCGATCCGTAAAATCCGCGCGCGTGACGAAACGACCGGCGGAAGATGAGCTCGAACGAGCTGAGGTTTATGTCGCAAGCAGCGGTGTATCGAACGTATGTGTACCGGCGGTTTCAATGACCTTGTCCTCGCGCGAATACGAGCAAAACGCGAGCCGAGTTTGTGGACCGTCTGAACAGCAGTGTGTGTGTATGTGTAATAACGCCGATCACATGAAAGAAGTAGCGTACCGACGATAAGGAATGCAAATTACTCAAAACGGGATTGAATTCCTCTTGCCTCGCGCCTGATTGGCCCGAGACTCGTTCATCGTCGACAAATCGTATGAAACGAACGGGGAAACAATTATATTGCCAAAATAAGGGAAGAAAGATTCCGACGCGAGAGCAAAAATACCCAATACCGACTGAAACGTGGATATCGATGTATTATTTCGTAAAATGTACCCTTTGATCTGCCGCCGACGTCGTCATTTTGCGGAAGCGGAAAGTGATTCTCGGGAAGCGAATCCCGAGAAACGTCTTCGGAGGGACACGATTCGACTGTAAACAGAAAATTGCGGTCCAGCGGACGGCTGAAGAGGTGGCGATGCGCGTCGCAACGCGCGAATACGAGATCCAACGATCTTCCGATTAAGGATCGCGATTAACTCGTGTATTTTTCACGTTGCGCTCGCGAAAAGGGAACAGCTCCCCGGGAGCTGTTAATAAAAGAGTCCGATTTAAAAGTAATCGGAAGCGCTTTCGGCGACTATAACACGGAAGGGCCATCGGATAGTTGCACGACAGACGCCGAGGTCCACGTGGTCGCGGTGTCGCGCGCTGAATAATTGAATGAGCGCGTAAATAATCGAGGGAGCCTTTTAGCGAATGCGACCTTAAACTCACTCGCCGGGCCGTAACAAGAGACAGCGAAATAAGACACGAAACGACGAAAAGAGGAGGGAAGAGGAAAAGGGGGGAGAACGGCGTCCCGGCGGCAGGTCTCGGGGTGTAAAAGTAACGGTCCGTAAGTACCGTTGGAAACGTAAGGGCGCCATTTACGGAGAAAAGGCGCGCGTGGTTATGAAAATACTTGGAAAATGGAAAGACGATGGCGTACGGTGCTGAGCCACGCGGAAAATTGCCGCGTATAAAAATGCACCGGTAAACAAGCGCCGGAGCCGCGACGGGTCGCTTTTTAAGGAGAGCGTCGCCGGCTCTTACTCCGTTGGCGAGATAAGTCGATACTAATAAACGGGCTCGTTATTCCGGCACAACGAAGTATTATTAACAAAGTACCCTGGACGGGGGGGGGGGG